GGATGTGGATGCTTTGGAGAGGGTGCAGAGGAGGTTCACCAGGATGTTGCCTGGTATGGAGGGCACTAGCTATGAACAGAGGTTGAGTAGATTAGGATTATTTACATTAGAAAGATGGAGGTTGAGGGGGGACCTGATTGAGGTCTACAAAATCATGAGAGGTATAGACAGGGTGGATAACAAGAAGCTTTTTCCCAGAGTCACGATTTCAAGGTGAGAAGGGAAAAGTTTAAGGGAGATATGCGTGGAAAGTTCTTTACGCAGAGGGTGGTGGGTGCCTGGAACGTGTTGCCAGCGGAGGTGGTGGAGGCGGGCACGATAGCATTATTTAAGATGTATCTAGACAGACACATGAATGGGCAGGGAGCAGAGGGATACAGATCCTTGGAAAATAGGCGACAGGTTTAGATAGAGGATCTGGATCGACGCAGGCTTGGAGGGCCGATTGGCCTGTTCCTGTGCTGTAATTTTCTTTGTTCTTTTGTTCTATCCAGTGAATGAACAAAATGTGATTAAATTTTACATTCAGTTTTAGGGAGAGAGGTGTGGGTCTGAGAGTATTTTTAATCTATTAAATAAGGTTAATTATGATATGGTGAAAGCTAAGCTGACTAAAGTCAATTGGTCAATAGAACATATCAATACAGATGCAAATGGCGGTTATTTAATGAAATATTTTGGAAAATGCAGAATACACACATTTCAATCAGTCAAAAAAATTCCAAGGGACAGACGCACTACCTATGGTTAACTTGAAAGATCAAATAAAGTTTCCAAGTTAAAGAGAAAGCATATAATTGTGCAAGAACAGATGGTAGATCAGAAGATTGGAAAGAATATGAAAAGCAGCAAAGAATGATTTTAAAAAGAGGAAGAAACAACTGAATATGAGAGAAAGTTAGTCAGAAATATAAAAATGGATGAGAGTTTCTATAAATATTTAATGATGAGTCTACAAAGTGAGCATTGGTCCAACAAATAGAGACTAGTGAATTAATATTGGAAAATAAACAAATGACAGATGTATTAAACACCATTTTTGTACCAGTGTTCACTGTGGAGGATATAAGAAAGATTCCAGGAGCATCTATAAATTAAGATATGGAATGGAGGAACTCAGGAATATGATGATTACAAGAGAAGTAGAACTATATAAATAATTGGAACTGTGGGCTGATTACCTGGATCCTGGTGGACTTCATTTAGGGTCTTAAAATAAATGGCAAGTGAGATCCTGGATGCTTGATTTTAATATTCTTACTTGGAGGAGAGCAAATGTAACTCCTTTTATTTTGAAAGGGAGACAGATGGCAAGAAACTATAATCACATCGGGCAAATGTTAGAACAATTTATTAAAAGAATTAGGATGCTTAGATAAATTCAAGGTAATGATTTTGTTAAACAGAAATCCTATCTATTGAAGTTCTTTGAGGAAGTAATGTGCTGTCGATAAAGGGGTTTTAGTGGATGTGTTGCACTTTCCAAAAAGCATTTGATAAAGTGTCACATCAAAGGTAAATATGGATAATAAAAGCTTATAGCATAGCATGTCACATATTGGCATGGTTAGAAGATTGGCTGGCTAACAGGAAGAGTAGACATAAATGAGCCATAATCTGATTGCCAAAAGGTAATGAGTGGTGTGCCACTGGAATTGGTACTGGAACCTCAACCTTTTACAATTTTATAACTAATCTGGATAAAGAGATGGAAGGTATGGTTGTCAAATTTGCTGATGACATTAATACAGGTAGGAACATAAATTGTGAAGAGCACATAATGCAGTTACAATCTGACAACTATATAACAGTACTGTGAAATTGTTCGTTTTGGCAGGAAGAACTAAAAACAAATCATCTTCTCTAAATCATGAGAGAGTGCAGAGCTTTGAGATGCAGAGGCATCCGGGTATCCTAATGTACGGATCAAAACCAGGTAGCATGCAGGCATAGCAGGTAATTAGGGATTGTAATAGAATTTTATCATTTATTGCAAGGAGAATTGAATACAAACGTAGGGAGGTGATGCTTCAATTATACAGGACACAGGTGAGACCACATCTGGAGTACTGTGCGCAATATTAGTCATTGGGTCATACAGCATAGAAAGAAGCCCTTTGACAAATCATATCTATGCTGGCAAACAAACACCAAGTTTACATGCACTTGGTCCATAGCCTAGTATTTTAGGGTCTCCTTATTAAGGGTTTAAAGATGGCAGCAGAGTGGGATGCTGCAGCCAGAGCTCCTCTGTTCAACCCGTTCTTTTCCTTTTTCTCTTTTTTTCATTTCTCTTGAGCTGTTTGTTCAAACTTATAACTTTTAAAACTTACTCAGAGGGGAACGGAGGAGGTGAGTCCCAGACCGGAGGCCATCGTAGGGAGGTGAGGCTCAGACCGGAGGTCATCGCAGGGAGGTGAGTCCCAGACCGGAGGCCACCGTAGGGAGGTGAGGCCCAGAACGGAGGCCATTGCGGGGAGGTGAGGCCCAGACCAGAGGCTGTCGCAGGGAGGTGAGTCCCAGACCGGAGGCCATCGCAGGGAGGTGAGGCTCAGACCAGAGGCCGTCGCAGGGAGGTGAGCCCTAGACTGGAGGCCATCGCAGGGAGGTGAGCCCCAGACCGGAGGCCATCACAGGGAGGTGAGGCCCAGACCGGAGGCCGTCGCAGGGAGGTGAGGCCCAGACCTGAGTCCGTCGCAGGGGGGTGAGTCCCAGACCTGAGTCTGTCGCAGGGAGGTGATTCCCAGACCGGAGGTCATCGCAGGAAGGTGAGTCCCAGACTGGAGACCACCGCAGGGAGGTGAGGCCCAGACCGGAGGCTGTCGCAGGGAGGTGAGCCCCAGACCGGAGGCCATTGCAGAGAGGTGAGGCCCAGACCGGAGGCTGTCGCAGGGAAGTGAGCCCCAGACCGGAGGCTGTCGCAGGGAGGTGAGCCCCAGACCGGAGGCCATTGCAGGGAGGTGAGGCCCAGACTGGAGGCCATTGCAGGGAGGTGAGAGCCAGACCGGACGCTGTCGCAGGGAGGTGAGCCCCAGACCGGAGACCGTCGCAGGGAGGTGAGCCCCAGACCAGAGACCGTCGCAGGGAGGTGAGCCCCAGGCCGGAGGCCATCACAGGGAGGTGAGTCCCAGACTGCAGGCCGCCCTGTGGAGGCAAGTCCCAAACTGGAGACTGTGGGGAAGTGGGTGGGTCCCAGTCTGAAGGCCGCCGCAGGGAGGCTGCTGCGGGGAGATGAGTCCCAGAGGCGAGGCCCCGAATGTTGAAGCCTGGTGCGGTCTAGAGACTTGGCCCAGTGTGGTCTGGAGGATGGGTGCTGGCACGGACTGTGGTGAAAGGACTGTAAATCAAGTACTTCTTTTCCTTTCTTTTCTTATACTGGATTTTAATTTATTATTCTTTCAATTTTGTACTATATACATAATTATCTGTACCTAGGTATCTTGTACCTAAGATGGCACCATAAGTGGTGACATTGCAAACTTTTCACTGCACTCATTTGAGCGCATGTGACAATAAAGCTAACTCGATTCAATTCAATAAAGAAGAATGTAAACGTGCTGGATACAGTTCAAAGATTTTTCACTAGAGTTATACCTGAAATGAGTTTGTACCTTAAGAAAAGGTTGGACAGGCTATTCGCTTAGCATTTGGAAGAATAAGGGGCAATTTGATTGGAACATATAAAAACCTGAGGGATCTTGACAGTGTAGCTATGGAAGGAATTTTTTCTCCTGTGGTGAATGTAGAACTAGGAGTCATGGTTAAAAATATGCAGCTGCCCATTTAAAAGAGAAGATAGGTTACTTCTTTACCCCACAGACTGTCTTTGGAACTCTCTTTTGTGGCAGCGAAACAGAGTCTCTAAGTGTTTTTACAGTGTCAATGGATAAATTCTTGGTAAGTAGGGGAAAGGTTATCAGGAGTAGGTGGGAATGCAGATTTATGATTACAATCAGATCATCCATTTGATTTTGTTAAATGTTACAGTAGGTTCAAGGGGCTAAATGGACTATTCCTGCTCCTGGCTTGTATGTTCCCCTACAAACATATTAAATTTGTATTGATACTTCACATGATTGAAATGTGTGGTAAGAAGAGTGAAGCACCTTATCAAATGCTTTCTAAAAGTCCCAGAAGACAATGTCTACTGGATTTCTTTCATCTAGCAGCTTTCTCAAAACTAAACTGTTAAATTTGGTCCTCCTTGCCTAATTTGTTTTTAAACTATACCGTTACCATCACTTGTTTGACTACATTATGAACTTACCTTCTGCAACTATCAGTTCCCAGAGTGGGTCTTGAACCTTGAGATTCTACCTCAGAGACTGACATGGTACCCACTACACAACAACATCTTCTGTTCATTAACTACTTCAGATAAAGTTTAGATTAGGAATAGAATTCAAGATTATCGTGAACGTTAGCTGAAAAATTACCACAAACTTAATTCTGAAAATCTTTTTTGTGAACAGCATCCTCTTTAATTGGATTTTGACCATTATAACTGGTCTATTGGAATGATGTATTTATGTGTTAAATGCATTTTTAATGTACTACTTGGTTACTTACATCATTGCTGCTTGTGGGACCTCATTGTGTGAAAATTATCTGTTGTATTCCCTATACCAGTGACCATATTTTAAAATACTTAATTGTAAAACAATTTTGAATTTCTTGTGGTCATGAAAGAAGTGACATAAATTCTAATTCTTTCTTTATTAGTTTTAAACTTCCAGACTTTAGGGCCGAATCATTTTATAGGAAGGCCTAACCTGTCAGTGTTATAAGGGTCTGGAAAGCAGAGTGCTTGCTTGTTTTTTGTTATTATAGTCACTCCCTGTGTAGTTGCATGTTACTATAAACTTAATAGATTGCCATGGTCTTGGCCGACCGCATAGTGAGAATTGTGCCAAAAGTGTTGGAGTCTTCATGATGATATTTTTCCATTCACTTAGACATCAAGTTATATACAATGTTCAATGATTTGCTTACTGAAAATATTTATTTAAACAATTCTGTTTATTTTAAAAGCTGTTACTGAATTGTTGTCCATCCAGTATTTTCTCATTCATACAGTTTATGAAGATACAGCAAATGGGCATTACACCAAACCTGAAGCAATACACCAATGTTGGGGCTCAAGATCTGCTACAGTACTTATTATTGCAGAACTGATGTAAAGTATTACATACAATAGCATATCACTTATCAAAAGAAGTGCATGATGGAAAATTGTGAGTTATGTTAAGAACAGGAGCTCTGATCAGCATCTATGACAGATACTTAAGGTGCTCATATCAAATTTATTTTGATCCAGGCATTGAACTAGTTAAAAATCTAATGGTTAAACCTGTTTCAAGAATACTGCTGATCATGATTTCTACTTTGCAGATAAGACAGTCAAAGAGAAACAAAATAGGGCCAGAGAAAATGGACACAGACAGAAGAGACAGAAAGCAGAAGAGAAAGGTCAATTTTATCAAGAATGGCTGTGGTGGGCTTCTGCATTTTCACAATTCAGTTAGCCCCTTCAGGTACAATCTAATAATCGTGTGCAATTATGTCTATATACCCTCTTATTATATAATTTTTTTTAGAAGATGATGCCTGAGACTGCACTATTGTGCAGTAAGGATTTATAACAGCATGCAAGTTTGTTGACAGCAGGACTACGAACCGCTTTACAATATGCTAAATTGGGGAATTTCATGAGCTAGGATTAGTTGGAAAGTTTTCATTTTAGGAACAAAATGTCTTTGTTGGATTAATTTGTTACCCAACTAATTCATTTGGCAGAGTTCCAACAGGACATTTCAATTGAATACAAATCATAACCAATTAATGCTGTAATCAGATTGTTAAAATGTGCAGAGTTCGTTTATTAACCCTGATCCTGGAGGTAGTAAAATCCTAGCCACACCACTGCCAATGATGAAGGACTAATGTTATCATAACTTGGGATAGGTTTTCCTTGTCCCAAACCTGAGAGTTCTGAACCATCCAGGTACAATGGGTACAGGAAAATAAGGTGGGAAGAAATAACGTAGGATAGCTGGCCCAATATTCCTGAATTTATTGTGTGGAAGAAATTAATTAGCTTCAAGTGTAGGAGGGGAAAAATCTGCCCCAATGCCATTCAGCTTGTATAAACTTCAAAGCCTACCAAATCAAAGTAGCCAGACCTTTCCAGGAATCTTATGGCCAGGAAGCTAAATTTGGCCCCCAAGTGCAAAGTCTTGTTAGCCATGTGACAAACGTGTAGAAAAACAGTATGCAAAAGTTGCATTGGTCACTTCAGGCCCCACTCATTAGGGTTGAGCCATCATTTGTATGAATACAGCTGCCACTCTCAAAAATAGATTTTCATCAGCACCAAAATTATGGCAGGGGTTGGAGCTACGGCCCAGCTGTATGATCCAGGTATCACTCACAGTACATCTTGTAAAGCAAAGCACAAGCCACTAAAAATTAATAACACAATTTTATAACTTAAAAATACTGGAGTTAGAATCACAAAACAAAACAAATCAAGTCAAGGATGGTGTTTACTATGAATGAGATTAACAGCAAAGGACTCAGTTGTAAGCTGGTCCCTAAATGCTTGAAGCACACAGTGTATAGCACAGCTTCTTTGATAACAAAGTCCATTAGATACTGATAATGAATGCAGCCAAATTGTTTCATAGATGAAATGAAGAAAGGTGGGGGGCAGTGGTGAGGGGAGTTCCATTCCACACCATCCTTTACATTCCGAATCATGCAGTAGCACCAGAGTTCTTGAGGTCACTTCTTTTCCAATTATTTATTTATTTTCTCCTTCGGCCACAATATTTTCCCATTGCACAAGGGGATCCTTCAAAAACATAGAAAAGCTGTTTAGTTAAATAAAATTATTTTCTTCTCAACCACAAGGTGTTCAGAAGTAGGCCAAAGTCAACTAATTAATAGAATTGAATTTAAAAAAGATTATGCCAAAATATGTGAAGACACTTGAATTTTGTAAACAAAATAATAGATCTGCAGTATTGCTATAAGTAGTTTCAAATGGAAATAGAGTTGTTCTCTTAAACATTTAATAGCACCATATTCATTTCATGCACGCAAACAGGTTCCAAATTGTTCAATATATCAGGTAGCCTGCGTCATTTTAATAATGTGCCAATGGGAAAGGTCTTCCATAGTATATGCCACTCAGTAAGTGGACTTGACAGGGTAGTGGCAGCCCTGCCCAGAGATAAAGCACTCCAGGACAAAGCAGCTGTATCTGAAGAGAGCTGCCAGCCAGTGGGAGTCAATAGATTGATTGAATGATGGTATGCCAGGGAGATGGCAGTTATTGCCTCTACTTAGGGGGCCAGACATCCAGGACAGTCCTCGTTTTTCATCAAATCCCGACAGTTTCCTGAAATTAGTTCAAACATCCCAGTTTTCACCTTTACCCTTCTATCAAATGTAAACTATGTCCAGGGGAGAAAATCTGCAGAAAATTTAATCCTTCTTCCTGTCAGCACCCATCATATCACATTGCACTGACACATCTCCACAGCACGTGAAACTTCAACCTGGACTTCCAGCTCAGAGTAAAGACACAACTACTGTGCCACAAGATCCCTTCTAGATAATCTTTGTGTTTTACAGGAGTACTCAATTATTGCCTGCAGCTAACCAGTAATAAGTAAATGAAACCAATGGATCAATTTCCTTTGGTTCAGTAATTGATATCATTGGGTGCCTGCACTGTATTATGAACATGATTTGAATTAGGTGAGATCCAATAGGTTCATATTCAGTTTCTAGTCTGGACTGGCCCCTTAAATGCAATGATGCAAATAAGGAAATCCAGTTAATTGCAATGACTTATAAATTAATCAAGTCAACTGAAACATTTCAAAATATCATGTTCTGGGCTTTCTTTCTTTTCTCGAAGATATTTTACATTTATGATAGCTTGACACTGTTGGAGTAGCAGTTCTGATTTAATACAATTAGTGATGTCTTTGAAAATTGTTAAAAAACTTCCATTCACTTTGAAAAGTGTCTTTTCTCCCCCGAACATCTTATAGAACATTTATGTATCATTAAATACAAAATCTGCAAGGAACCAGTACAATAGGCCACTGTATTAAAACATTTGTAATTTTCTAGCTTAGGTTTGAACCTTGGTAAAGTTTGATTAACATGTTTTGCAGGTTGAAAATAAGTTTACCCTGGAAAAATAACATTAGAATCAGCAGCATTCCATCATCTTGGACTAATACAATGCTAAATTACAGAATAAAAAAATGAATGAACTGTGGATCTTGTAAATCAGAAACACAAACAGAAATTGCTGGAAAAACTCAGCAGGTCTGGCAGTATCTGTGAAGAGAAAGTAGAATTAACATTTCAGGTCCAGCGAAGCTTCTTTAGAATTGCAGGAGTTCAATTCTGTTAACAGATAAAGACTATCCTCTTTAAAACTCAGGTTATGACACAGATTTTCCAGATGCAGCATTTTACATGACTTCATTATTCAGTGGGGAAAATCTATTCAGCAGGAAGACATGGAGGGTGGATAGGAGATATAACAGGAAGACACTGAGAGCAGTGAGAATGAAAAAGGTCCACCATTCTTGTAAATTGCACAATTTCGCTCACGCAAATGCAGTTCTGTTCTAAATGTACCATTCCTCTGCATCAATTCCTCAAAGAGCAATCTCATGTCTACCACTATTTTTAAAAGAGTGGCTAGCCTAAACACCAGAACTTTCAGACAAAATACATTACCTGCATATCAAATACTTACAATGTATCAAACATTTCACAAATGAATTTAATGTATTTTTCCACCTGTCATTAAATATTGTTCACTGTGGAGCAACCTCTAGCACATGTTCTAAGTGTTCTTCTAAGAGTCTTAAGAGTGCTCTTTGAAGAAACTTCTCAAGTTGTTTCAGCAAGAGATGAAGGAGGCTCCAGAGATTTCAATGAAGAAATTGGAGATACCTGTGGTTAACTGGGTTTTAGTCCAATTCATTCATCAGCTCATTGCTCATTGTCTTGATTCCTGGTTCAATAATGTCTTGATTTAAAACTTTTCATATTTGCTTTCAAACAACTCTGCAGCTTCCTGGCTCCCTATCTCCAAATCTCCTCCAGCCCTACAAACCTCAAAGGCATCCATATTCTGGTCTTGAGCATCCTTGATTTTAATTGCTACACCATTAGTTGCTGTGCCTTCAGCTGCTAATGTCAAGCTCTAGGATTCCCCTTATGCACCTCTCTGTATCTCTTACTGTTCTCCTTGTTTAAAGACACTCTTTAAAATATACCACTTTGATGATTTGCCTCAATATTTTTTATACAGTTTGTTGTTAAATTTTGCTTTGTAGAACTCCAGTGAAATGCCTGACTACATTATAGATGTTATATAAATACAGATGTTAACGGATGTTTAAAAAAACATAGTATTTGGACAAAGAATGAAGTGTACACAATTACAATGATTCAGTTGGATCTCAGTTGTCATAAATACTTTATATTTAAAATATGCATATTATGAGCTAATTAATACATTCGGATTTGATCAATTGCTTAACTGTTAGCTAAATAATGTGTACATTCAATGCAAATGAATCCAGTATTAGTTGCTCATACCTCTCCCATAAGGATACCCAAACTGGCTCAGTGCCCCATACTGTTTAGGAGGTTTACCTGCAACACAAAATCTGACCCATTAAACATTGATTTATCAAGACAGCTTATACACCCTCTTTCATAATGGGCTGGGCTCACATGATAAAATGGTGAAAATAAATACAAATTGAAAAAAAAAACTTTTGTTGTATTCACTCTTATCACAATGAGAATAAAAGTCATCATCCTTTATAATTCCACTTATTTTTAAACAGATACTCAGTTGTGCAGGAAAACATTGTAAATATGTTTTTAGAGCGGAAGACTTGACTACTTTTAAGTCAATGGTATTGTTAAGCAAAGGGTTGAAAGCTTATCGGGTTAGATGGGAATGTGGATTTGAGGTGACGATTAGATCAGCCATGATCTTATTAAATATGAAGCAGGCCTGAGTGGCTGAATGGCCTACACATTTACATGTGCATATGCTTGTAGATACAATTTATCTGGATTTTCAATAGATGTTTTGAGAATGAGATACTTTTATTAAAAGTTAATATGCATGGAACGCATAGAAGATTGGGCACCTGAGTTATAATTGTATTGGCTATGGAAAGCAAAATATATTGGCATAAAGGAAAGACTAATTAAAATTGTTGTCATAGATTTATGAAGTTGGGGATGAATATTATCATGGTTATCTGCTCTCCATACTATTTATAAGTGATATTGAATGTATTATCCTGATGGTACAAGTGTAAAGGCAATTGATTAGTGACTAACTTTGATAGGTCCTGAAAATTGTGCAAATATGGCAATATAAAATTAATCTGTTACTGCTGCTTGGAACACAGGCATTATGGCAATACTGCGCTGCCTACTCAGTTCAAAGATTTCAGCACATAAGCAATGCTAACAGTATTGTTGATGGACTGGATATATAAATGGAGTGTTAATGTCATGCGTGGTGAGAACCATTGAAAATGAACCTGCACTGGTTAATGCAGGCCTGTACCTCTACTGGATTATTGTGGCTGGAACTGGTGCTGGTAGTTAGGTGGGAAGTCAACCTGACCTGAGAAACCTGAAATAATGGCACAACATGTTAGATAGCAGCTCCTTAACCTTTCCATACTCTGTTCTGGATATCTTGATGGAGGACGTTGTAAGGAGGGTTTTGTATCAATATGTCTCAAGTCACATACTCAGCGGAGATAGAGGTATGGTGGTCAAACTCAGGAGTCAAAGCTTCAAGACCTGGACACACATTGCAAAAAACTCAGTGATGTCACGTGGTCAAGGTCAGTGAATGCATCTTCAAAGATCACCTCCCACCAAGCACACGACTAGCCTCACATGCTGCACAGTACTGTACATGTCCACCACTTAGCTACCAGCAATTTCTATCCATTAGAATTGCAATATGTTTCAACTTACCTTTAACATTTTAACACTGCTGCAAGCATTACTCACATTTAACAGTTTGCATACACTGTCAGGTATTCAATCATGGTAGCCACATCAGTAAAACAGATTGCATGATATTCACTCATGCATTTCTCTTTCTCCTACAAGGGAAAATGATGCTGAACTAGAGGCAGCAAGAGTTAATGGCAGAGGAACAGACCTCCCTGTATATCCTAATTCCCTTGGAGGAGATGGTCTTGGATATTATTGGTACAGCCATTGCTGGACTCATGGCTAGTAGCCTGGCAACCATTAAAGATAAAAGCAACTTAATTCTTAATTCTGTTTCACATCTTAACCCTCCCTTATTTGATTTTCAATCAGCAAAGGGGGTTTGTATTTTGAATCAACCTGTTCAGGTATGTTATTGCATGTTTCTCGGAAAGGTGAAACTTGAACCCAAATCTTCTCAACTAGAGACAGAATGCTGGGTTAATTTCGCAGCTATTTGCCTCTTTTAATACTTTAATTACTTACCTATTATCTGATGGGGACTCCCTGCTTACCTGAAAACCTACTCACATTAAATCCAGAAGAAACAGAAGCAGGAATAGGCTATTCAATATGATCATGGCTGATCATCCAAATTAGTACTCTGATTTTAGATTTTTATTGTCATGTGTACTCAAGTACAGAAGTACAGTGAAAATTGAATAATTTCACCACACATGGCACCATATTAGGTATCTAGGTACAAAAAAAGCTTAGGTACAAAGTAGAAAGAGAAATGAGAGTTAAAAAGTTAAGCATTACTTCATAGAATAGTTGAAAAATAAAGAAATCGGCAATAATTTACATTAAAGTCTTTCATGGTTTAAATTAGGAAAATAAAAGAATAAGTTAAAAGTTCAACAGTCTTTAAGGAGTCCTTTGCTTATCTTGCTCTGCTGTCTGTTCTCGAAGCTGCTACCACAGATACTGTCGCTGCTGCCGAAGTCGCTACCTCTCTGATCTCCCCCAGTGCCTTGGGAACATGACTAGGCAGAGCCAGTTGCATGCCGAACTAAGGCACTGCCATGAGCGCCAAGAGACTGACCGACATACTGGTGAAAGACCAGGCCAGGACCTGCGATGAGCTGCCAAAAGACCAGGCCAGGATGAACCACGAGCCGCCGAGAGACCAGGTGGGGATCTGCCACAAGCTGCCGAGAGACCAGGCCAGGACCCATGGAGAGACCGAAGTGGGCAGAAAAGAAGGAAACAAAAGGAGCGGAGGAGCTCTGGTTGGAGCATCCTAATCCACTGCTGTCTTGACCGGAGTCCCACTTTCTCCCCATACCCTTTGATCCCTTTAGCTTTAAGAACTACGTCTGACTCCTTCTTGAAAACATTCAATGTTTTGGCCTCAACCACTTTCTGTGGAAGAGAATTCTTCCTCCTCATTTATTTTCAGATACCTGATTCTCGACATCTTCCACTTTCTGCAGTTCTACTCCCCTCAGTAGTTGGTTGTGCAACTGACAAACCATCCTGAAGACCCTTGATATGACATATTGAAGGGTGCTCCTAGATTTGTCGAGGCATTTAAATTCCATTTTCATCAAATCATTATTGTTCTACAATTGCCCTTGTGGTCATTATAGCTCCTATTGCATCTGTTGTCTGAATTGATAGTGGTACAAATGTAGAATAACACATACAGCGCTGGAAAATCTCAACAGGTTCGGCAGCATCTGTGGAGACAGTGAGGTAGAGTTAACATTTTTGAGTCCAATATACTATTATTTTGGTGGAAGACTCCCCTCAGGAGCCATCAGAGAGGTCCTTGAAGGATAGAATTTCTCCAACGAGCCATCTGTGAAAAATTATGTGCACTGCTTCTGAATGAATTATGACAACTTCCAAGATATCTTCATCAAATGTGTTTCACTGAGAATGTTTTAGTACAGGAGACTGCAAATTACAGATCTGTTGCAGAAGCCGGAACAGCCTGAGGCAATTCTACATCATCAGATTTCATCATCTGTATGTATATCCTGTGGAACAGGTATAATCTCCTTTGAACTCGAACCCTGTGTCTGTTCCCTCTGATAATGTGGAGCAGCATGTGGTTGAGCAGAAGGCAGACAAAAAGTTTCCACAAACACCAATAGAATAAAGACCAGAATCTATTTCTAATGGCATCAATATCGGTCTGGACACTGGGTACAATGTCTCTGCTTGTCTTTAAAATAATCCCATAAATCTTTTTCTTCGACTGGAGCAGGCAGATGCACTTCAATTTAATGTCTCATCTGAAGGAAGACATCTCGAACAATGCGACTGTCCCTTAGTACTGCACTGAAATGCAAATCTTGATGCTTTTTGCTCAAGCTTTGAAATTCAGTGAAAACCGGGCACCCTGTGATTCAGAGCGGAGTGTGTTGACAATTAAATCTTAAAGAAAAACCAACATCTTCTGTCCTCACCAAAGTCTGTATACTTGATGCATCTATCTGTGGCTGTATTGGTAGGAATGATCACAGTACAATGCTCGTAGAAACAAAATCCTGTCTTCATACTTAGAATGTTGTATGGCACCATCACTATGCTTGATGAGATAAACTGAGAAACAATCTGGCTCAATACTCTGAATCATCAGAACTGCAGAATTGCATTCTGCCATAATGCGTCAACTCATGGCCTGTGCAATCCTTTGCTCTGTCATTATCATCATGCAGCTAAGAAATTCTACAACCAATGATTAGATCAAAGTTGTGCAGTTCTCCCATATTCAGTTATGTTAGTGATTTAACTAATTAATGCTATACAGAAAGAGAAAGCTCCGTGAATATCCTCATCGCTAATGATGGGACAGCGCTGTATTTAAATGGCAAAGAACAAGCCTGAAACATTTGGAACCATATTTAGTCAGAAGAGCAAATTTAGTTTTCCTTCTTGGCCTTCTCCAGAGGACCCAAACATCATATATATTAGTCTTCAGTCAAATGTATTTCATTTATATGACATCAAGAAATAGTTTAGCACACTAGATACAGCAAAGGCTATGGCCCCTAATAACATCCCAGTTGTCATGCTGAAGATTGGTGCTCCAAAATTAGCTGTGCTTCTGGTCAAATTATTCCAGTTCAGCTACAATCCTGGCATCTACCTAACAAAAGGAAACTCACCTATGTCTGGGATAGTAGGAACTGCAGATGCTGGTGAATCCGAGACAACAAGGTGCAGGGCTGGATGAACACAGCAGGTCAAGCAGCATCATAGGAGCAGAGAGGCTGACGTTTCGGGCCTAGACCCTTCATCAGAAAAGGGGGAGGGGAAGGGGGATCTGAAATAAACAGGGAGAGAGTGGGAGGTGGATAGAAGATGGATAGAGGAGAGGATAGGTGGAGAGGAAACAAACAGGTCGAAGAGGCGGGGATGGGGCCAGTTAAGGTGAGTGTAGGTGGGGAGTTAGGGAGGGGTTAGGTCAGTCCAGGGAGGACGGACAGGTCAAGGGGGCGGGATGAGGTTAGTCGGTAGGAGATCGGCTTCTGCCCTGTCCACAAAAGTAAGATAACTTTAAAATTGCTATTGTCCATTAGTTTACTTTCAACCTTCTGCAAAGCGATGTAAGGTGTTATCAACAATGCTATCAAGTAGCACTTATTCACAAATAACCTGCCCACTGA